CTTTTGCGCAGGCGGCCACTGTGGCTTGTCGCCTCCGCCTCCGCGCTGCCGCTGTGATCGGCTACAGAGAAAAGACTGCTGCTGCAGCTTTTTTCTCTTCTCTCAAATCACTGGAGTGCATCAGTGCATGGCTACAGAAAAAGACTGCTGCTGCTTGTGATGGCCGGTTTGGTGTCAACAAATGCAAGTCTACTGCAACGCATTATCCTGCCCTTATTGTATGATGTTTGAGTTTTCCAAATCTTAAATTCTATTTTTCAAGCAAATACTCTGCGTACTATTAGGAGCGATTCCAAAAGGTCTTATAATTGTAACATGCAAATAGGCTATATCAATGTATCATACTCGGACATGGAATATATTTGCGTGATTGTAAAGCATCTGAGAATGGTAATGAATGTTAGCAAAGAAGCATTTCTCAAAAGCAGGTACAGTAAAACTTAAGAAACAAGATATGGAGTGTAAATTAACATGCTATGGATGGACTGCTAGCTGCAGTTCACAGCATCCACAAGATTAGAACACAGAGCTGCAGTGGAGAAGATATTGTTTACCTTTGAAGGACCACTGACCAACTCCATCTGTTACATCCGTACACCAAACCAGCCATCACAAACAGCAACAGTCTTTTTTCTGTAGCCATGCCATCACCAGAGAGGAGAGATTGGCTTCCACCTACTACTAGTTTGCACACGTACTGCCGCTCAAATAATTATTATTTTAATCAAATTTCTACAGAAAATAGACCTCTCTAGTTGCAGCCAACTAGACGATATCAGAACCAACACACAGCAGCAGCGCATTGGAGTGCAGTGCAGCCAATCTCTCTCCCCTCATGTCACTTGAGAGTGGATTTTCTCAGACTTTCAAAATGTAATATCACACAAATCGCAAGTCCGTTTGACGAGCCGTTTGAAGATTATTATTGGAAATAATGTGCCCAACAGAATAAGACCCAACAAGGCTACGTTTTAACAAAGTTTTCAAATGTGGGGCCCATGTGCCACTTATTTTTTATATGAAAATATAGTCAATATGGGTCTTGTTTTATAGATTTAATTACAAGGAATATTCTAGTGTAAATAAATTACAGAAACAATACACTGTTTAGAAGCTATGGCCATTCAAAAATTCATAAATTAAACGGCACAGGGACGGGAGAAGCGGAGCGCGGCGGTGCCAGAGCCAGACGACAGGCCGCAGGCGCGTCTCTCGCGTGTCTTTGGGCGCCGCGGTTACCGAGGACCAGCCATCACAAGCAGCGACAGTCTTTTTTCTATAGCCATGCACTGATGCACTCTAATGATTTGAGAGATGAGAAAAAGGTTGCAACAGCAATCTTTTGTCTGTAGCCGATCACAGCGGCAGCGCGGAGGCGGAGGCGACAAGCCACAGTGGCCGCCTGCGCAAAAGCAGCATGGGCCAGCTCGGCGCCAGAGTTCGTGGTGGCGCCGAGGTACCGGTCACGTCAACGCCACCTAGGATTTCGGCCAGGCACTTCGGCGCCAAGATCTGTGGCGCCGAGACATGTTACCTCGGCACCATGAGTCCTGGGGCCAACCCCAGGGTCCAAAGATGAGTTTAAGTCTTCCAGACGGCTAAACGTAAATTTTCTTCTAAAAAAAGAGTTAAATTGTAAAAAATTAGAATGGATGCACAAGCACAGAGACCATTCTTTAATCAAGCTACCCGTGGCACTACCTCTAGACCGTTGAAGCTCAATCAAATGGCTAAAAACTGTACCAGTACCACAACGTCTTCCAACCACACACCAAATCCGATCATCCGAAACTCTGTACCTGAAATATAGGAGAAGTGATTATTTATATAACTCTCGTCCACTGTTGTACTGATATTTTTAAAGTGCACTTCTAACTGAACCATAGTTCGCATGTTATCTGAATATATCCTCTGTCAGCACATAAATTTGCATTTCTTTAGATATTCAACCAACCATGGATCGTAAACAAGCACGGTCGAAGTTTCAAACTGCGCTGATTCATTCACTGCCTCATCCACTGCAACTCCTGATTTGGTGTTCTCATGACATGTTGCCCCGTTTGGCAGAGCTTTGCTTCACTAGTGAAGCTATTTTTTTTGGCTTCACTTCACGGAACAGCTCCATCAGTAGAGCTGAAGCGGTTTTGGTAAATTATTTGGCAAAATGACTTCCCTGTGAGAGCATGTTTTTAGGGGCATGTAGGAGGAGCCGGGAGAAGCCATTTTTTTTTGCTCCATCCCACCCAAATCACTGTGAGAGCATGTTTTTAGAGGCTTCACCAGTGAAGCTATTTCACTTTATCCCGTTTGGCAGAAAACGGCTCCAAACAGCTCGTGAAGCCGGTGGAGAAGTCCTGTCAAACAGATAGTCACAACCGATTAATTAAAAGAAATGGTAGCCTTTCCTCAACAAATTACCAGAACCATGCATTGCAACTTACCCTACACTACCCAACCTCAAGATTCGTCGGATGAGTCCACGAACTCCCCCAGCTGGGAGGCACACGGCTTCACCCTTGTTCTCAGGGCCTTCACCATTTTCCGTTCATGAAAATTAAAAAAAAATCATACTTTGACAAGATACGACAGTCGTTTGGAATTGAAATTGAGAGCGACAAACAAGTCCTTAGAGAGAACAAAATGACTACACAAAGTGGAATTTTTCCAACTGCCTCACAGGACTAACAGAACCCATTATTGCAGGGTATGGTTTGGAAGGCTAAACCGATATTCGTATCCTTCTCCACTCCAGATTCTAGGATACAAAAGCATAGCCACTATAATTTATTAACCTTCCAGAAACTATGATTGCAAAGGCTCTGTTCAGCATGTCCTTAAACCCAGCTTTATCCGCTTCTTTTTTTTTATCTAGAATAGTATTTCCTCTCACAGATTCATCCAGATTTCTCCAAATTTCTCCAAACGAACGGGACCAAAGTCACGACATTGATGTTGAGGAACCTATTATTGCACCTATTATTTTACTACAAAAAGGCCTAGCATAATAGCTGCATCGGATCTTGTAAATATGGTATTTACTAGCTACAATAGAGAACATATGATGAAAGTTGAAGGGGGATCGAAAGTTCATCTTTAACATCAAGCCTCTCCTCCTCAAAGCAACCATGAAAAAAAATCTTAGAAAGGCTCTAGGAGGACTCCATGGATCAATGGCGGTAGCGGGATGAGTCTATCTATCCAACAACTATGTGTTTTATGTAGTTTCAACACATGAATTTTTTTGCACCATAGAATTAAAATTCAACAGCCTCCACCCTTTATCTACCTCCAGCCTCCACCCTTCTTCTATCTTCAGACAATCACAAATCACAAGATCACAGATCTATGGATCACAAGAAATAATTTGTTTTCTATAAAAGGACAAATCACAGCAGGAGGAGGAGAGGCTACTGGAGGACGCGTGCGGCTAGACGACTCCACCGCTACCCAGGAGCAAGCTGTAGCAAAGCAGCAGCCAGCCTTGAGCGGAGAGGCAAATCCTGACACCATGTCCGGCCTCGAGCGGAGCGGATCCTGAGCGGCGTGACCCGCGCCTGTGGCCTGCGCGACGGCAGCGCCCGTGCCCGTGCCAGCAGAACGGAGGGAAAAAGAGGGAAAAAGAGAGAAAAAATCCATGTGTTTTTTACGCTAAAATACACGTGCGTGATATAGTATTTCTGTCTTGATTTCAGCGTAAAGCATAGCCCCGTGAGGCGCAAAGCTGTGACGCCCCGTGGCCGCCGTTGATCACCGCTGACGTGAGTTTTGCCTAAACAAGCACAAACATGGAGAAAACGAGCAGAGGTCACTGGTCAGGTTCCTCTTGCCGTATTCGATTTGTTTGAATTGGAATAGGTCCAGTCTTACAGCGCTTGCGCCTTACATACTCCGAGTCTGGTCAGTGGCGGAGCCAAGGGGGGGCTGGCAGGGGCCATGGCCCCCCCTCAATATTTCACAACAACAAAAATAGATAATATGACTTAATATTTTTTATTTATATTAAGAGGAATATTATATAAAATTCTTGTCATATATATCTATTAATATCTTCTAGATAATATAATCATACAAAACACAATTAGATAATAAAATTATCGCAATGAAAAGACCGAGTCGGTACTCAAAATTTACAAAGTCATCCTAGACGTCTTGTTGTTAACGAGCATGTCACTTACCACTGAAAAATAGCGCCTTAGATCCTAGATACATATAAGAAATTACGAGCACCCGTTCACGTCAATGAATTAATTCCGACAGTCATCACAAGAAACATAACGAGTTGAGTTGCACTTAGTTTTCACATGTTGGCTCTTTTGGCCGGCCCCCCCTAAGGCCTCGTTTGGCAGGGCTTCTCCACTTGTTTCAGGAGCCGTTTGGAGTCGTTTTCTGCCAAACGGGGTAAAGTGAAATAGCTTCACTGGTGAAGCCCCTAAAAACATGCTCTCACAATGATTTGGGGTGGGATGGAGCAAAAAAAGTGGCTTCTCCCGGCTCCTCCTCCAGGCCCTCTAAAAACATGCTCTCACAGGAAAGTCATTTTGTCAAACGGTTTACCAAAACCGCTTCAGCTTCACCGGTGGAACTGTTCGTGGAGCTGAAGCAAAAAAAAAAAAAGCTTCACTAGTGAAGTGAAGCCCTGCCAAACGGGACCTACCTACAATTCCTGGCTCCACCACTGAGTCTGGTGCTTGGCTCCACATGTCATACGCTTAAGAGTACAATAACTTAAATAGTATGTTTCCCACACGAGAATACGTCTTTGAGCGCCTCCTTCACTGGGTTGCGGCCTCAGGCGTGACAAAAACATTCAGGCGGACCAGATGGAAGAAGAGCTGAGCAAAGCCGCACGACTCCACCTCTATAAATTCCCGCCCACCCCGCTTCCATTCCATCATTCCCCATCACCAAGCCGAACCGAGAGAGGTCCCCCAGACCCACAGCGGGGTGAAGCGAATCGCATCAAATTCGACCGAAGAATCGCGCCACTTGGCCACGCCACCATGAGCTTCTCGTCCATGAGCAAGCAGCAGGTGCTGGACGCCGGCGACGGGGCAGGGGAGGAGGTCATGGAGCTCATCCCCGGCCTGCCGGAGGAGGTGGCCGAGAAGTGCCTCCTCCACCTGCCCTTCCTCTACCACCGCCTCTTCCGCACCGTCTCCTCCACCTGGAACCGCTTCCTCACCGACGCTCCGGCCAACCCGCTGCTGTTCCCTCCCGCCGCCGCGGGGCCTGGGGCGGGGACCGCGGCCACGGGGTCGGTGTCCTTCTCCCTGCCCTTCCTCTTCGCCTTAGCGTTTGACCCCGTGTCGCGGCGCCTGCAGTGCCAGGCGCTCGACCCTTTCTCGAGGAGGTGGCTGCTGCTCCCGCCGGTGCCCGGCGGCGGCGCCGCGGCCGGGTCGTTCGCGGTGGTGGGGCTCCCCCGCCGCGGCGAGATCTACGTGATCGGGGGCGTCGAGGAAGGCGGCAGCGACAAGGCGGTGACGAGCGTGGCGGTGTACAGCGCCGCGCGGAACGGGTGGGAGGAGGCTGCGTCGATGCGGACGCCCCGCGGGTACATGGCGGCCGGCGAGGTGGGAGGGCGGGTGGTGGTGGCCGGGGAGGACGGCGAGGCCGAGGTGTTCGACCCGGAGGCACGGCGGTGGTACCCCGCCGCGCCGCGCCGGGGCGCGGCCGTGGCGCGGTACGACGCGGCGGCGGCGGGTGGGAAGCTGTACGTGACGGAGGGGTGGGCGTGGCCGTTCGAGCGCGCGCCGCGCGGCGCCGTGTACGACGCCGCCGCGGACTCGTGGTGCGAGATGGCGCGCGGGATGCGGGAAGGGTGGACGGGCTCCTGCGCCGTGGCGGGGGGCCGGATGTACATCGTGGCGGAGTACGGGGAGTGGCGGCTGAAGCGGTACGACGACGCCCGGGACGAGTGGCGGATGGTGGCCGGCAGCGGGGTGCCCCCCGACGTGCGCCGGCCGCACGTCGTCGCCGGTGAGGTCAGGGAGGTCGCCGGCGGGAGGAGGAGGATCTACGTCGTCGGCGCCGGGCTCGACGTCGCCGTCGGCACTGTTTCTGCCGCCGCCTCCGCTTCCGCCACCGCCGCGGCACCCGGCGTCCACGGCGTCGAGGAGGAAGTGGTGGAGTGGGAGGTGGTCAAGGGCCCCGCCGAGTTCGCCGGGCTCGCGCCCTGCAACGCGCAGGTCCTGTACGCATGAGTCGCCGCCGCCGGGACCCCTCTCCCCGCCTTCGGGTAGAACGTCCGCATCGACGGACCGAGGACCGACGGCTCGGCCCAGTCGGCGCACCCACACGGGTCCACCAACCCCGCGCCGCATCACGTCGCCGGCGAAGCGCCGAGCTGGCCCACATGTCAGTGGAACATGACGGCTCCAGCGTCTCGCCGGCAGGTGCGAGTGGCCTGCTGCTGGAAGAGGAAGACCCAGATCGAGTTTCCGAAGAAAAAAAAAACAGATGCGCAAGCGCAGGTGCATAAGCTCGCCACGTGGGACCAGTGTGTGAGAGAGCAGTGATGGGACTTGTTGGGAGAGGCTGAAAAATCTCTTCCGCCACGTGGGACCGAGCAAGCGTGCAAGCTGTACTCGATCTGTCCGGAAAAAAAACGCAGAAGGGAGAGTCCACTAGGCCCCGGGCCCCGGCCGGCGCTGCTCCGATCCTCTTCTCCTTCAATTCGCCTGCAGCAAGCGTGCCTGCGTGCGTGCGTGACCGTCACGAGTAGAGTAGGGGGAGCAGCACCTGCGACTGGCAACGCAGAGCTATTAAAGAAACAAATCCAAATGATGAACGCGGCGCCGGGCTATGGACAGTGGACACAGACGTCCAAATGCACGCTCACGCACAGCTAGGAATGAGCTCAGGTGTCAGTGTGCCTGGCTGTGCACGCGCGTGGGGATCTGACCTCCGAACCGATCCGGAGTTAAAGGGGGTGTTTGGCCCCACCGAATGTATGCACAGAGAATTAAATATAAATTAATTATGAAACTAATTGTATAGTTTACGATTAATTTACTAGATGAATCTTTTAAGTTTAATTAGTTTATGATTTGATAATATTTGCTAAAGTAATATGGGCTAACGATAGATTAATTATGTTTAAAAAATCGTCTCGTGGAATATTGATGGATTATGTAATTTGTTTTTTATTAGTATCCGAATATCCCATACAACATCCTCCCGATATATCTTTTAAATTTTAGTTCATGGATCAAACACGCCTAGGTTTCTGATCCCAACGCTCGTCACTGAGTCCTTTTTAGTTCCACCTCAATTTTCAAAAAGTTGCTACAATACCTGTCACATCGAATGTTTGCGGTCCGTGCATAAAGCATTAAATGTAGACAAAAAGAAAAACTAATTGCACAGTTTATTGAGAAATTGCGAGACGAATGTTTTGAGCCTAATTAGTCTATGTTTGAACACTATTTACCAAATAAAAACGAAGATGCTACAGTAGCCTCCAAATCCAAATTTCGCGAACTAAACAGGGCTGAGTGAGGATGTCAAAGCTTGTTTAGCTGATGTGCGTTTTGTTTATGCGGAGCACGTACGTACTAGGAAGGAGAGAGGCCTGAGCCGTGCCTGCGGTGCGGCTAACAAAAACTTGGGGCAGGAGCTTGATGCATCTGCACTGAAGAAGCAGCGTTGGGCCTTCGTGATGGCGACCGCGGGCGCGGCAGCCTGACACGTAACGCGTCGCGACAGCTGAGACCTGATCATTCAGGGATGGGAGTAAGAAATGGGAGGATAACAGAGTATTGACAGTCGTACGTACTCCCTCCGTCTCATAATAAAAGCACGTTTAGAATTTAAACGTGTAATATACTGTAGCTGTGAAATTACATTTTTACTCTAAAAAGTGTAGTGTAGTGATTGGCAGTGCAGGTGCAGATGGAGCAGCCTGCCGCTGGACAGGACTCCAGTGGAAACGAGCAAGCAAATGAGTGGTCCAGACACTTCCACGTAGCTCCCGTCAGAATTTTGTTGCTCCCAACGTGATTGTCTACAGCTGCTGAGCTGCGGCAGCTGCCAGCTAGCCCCAGTACTGTTCCTATATTTACCTTCATTTGTGGGACAAAATTCAAACCCCAGACGTGCTTTTATTCCGGGACGGAGGGAGTACTGTACAGGACACCCCATTAGCATAATCAAACCGTGCAGCCGTACGCTTGTTTTCATTTTTTGTTTGAGGAAGAAAATAAAGCAGGCGCATGAGACGCATTTTCTGTTTCTTTTTTTTGTTTATTATTACTTTTTTTATGGAACATGAGGGGTTTTACCCCCTAGTGGAATTTTATTAATAAAAAAAAGAATGATAATGAGCACAAAGGAATAGTAGAAAATACTAGAAGTGAGTGCACCCAAAACTTAAAATGGCCGCGCGGTCCTATATATGATTTGAGTTCTCTGAAGCCTGAAGGCAAGTACTAGGCTTGAGACGTGCTTGAGAGTCGGCCCTTGTCGTTGGTGCAGCTAGGACCATATGCTATACGTTTGCTAGTAGTCCTGAATCCTGATGGTTTTTGTATAGTTACTTGTGCTGTGTCTACGGCAAGTTATTCCCTTGCTTTGTCGCACTGTGTTGGCGTGTGTGTCACTGTCTATGATCGCCTCTGCTACTTGCGCTTTGAGGTCAAGATTCGCCAACAAAATCCTACCACATCGATCTTAAGCTATCAGCAGCCTGTCCGAGCAGACGAGTTCATATGTAATGCTAGCTTTAATTTCTCATCATCCTCCTGCACCGATCCGATTCATGCAAATTGCACACTACTCCAGATAGTGTAGCCACTTGTTGCGAATCTGTGCTAACCACTGCAGATGTAAATGCGCGCAGACGTGAATCGTGATCGACCCCCCAGCAACTGCTCAACTGCTTAATAATCGGATCGGAGCCACTTGGCACTTGCGCTACCTGATCAGTGATCACACAACCTGAAGAATCCTCCAACGGCCACGCTCCAAGTTGCATTTCGCGACGCAGTATTATCTTCTGAATTTTTCATGAGCAACCGTCGGAACCAAGTTGCAGGAGAGCAGGAGCAGGCATACATAGCTTTTTCTTCAGCTGTTTCTCTTGTTGATGAGGTGTCTCAGCTACGGCTCAGCGTCATGTTTGCATGCATGTCTTCAGAGACTTCACAGTTCATCATGAGAAATTGCCCCACCGGTCATCGCCCAAAAACGAGTACGTATGGGGTAACTGAACCAAACCAAACAACCCGGACCGAAGCAGAGAACAAAAACGCCGGTGCACCAGCATATCTGCAGGGCATGCATCTGACAGAGCGCACGCCCTGTTAGAGCGTCCGCAGTGCGGAGAAGCGGGGACGCTCCTATCCTAGGTCCCACAAATGACATGACTTGTTTTGGTATTCAGCTCGCAGTGTATTGAACCGGACTCGGCTCCATATCCTGGTGTTTAGCACCGCGGTGATCTATTTTTTTTATTGAAAAGGGGCGGGGTCGATAGCTCGAAGCTGATCCTCCATCGAAACCACTCCACAATGTTACATACCTGGCGCTATAGCTGCATTTAATGCATCGAACCAGCTACGAAACCCACACTGCGGACGCTCTTATGTTCCTGTGACGGTCCAGGAAAAAGGAGCTTCCACGCCCGGTAGGCCTCGGACAGCGCGGCCAGCTTTCTCCATCCGGATGTGGCGTGCATGCACGTGCTTACTGCGTGCTTCTTACTCTCACAGCAGTACAGCACGCGATCGATCGATGTCCTTGCGCCACCGAGCTGTGTCGACGAGAAGCCGACGCCGACGCAGGCCGGCTTGGCGCAAGCATGAGAGCAAGGTTCCCACAAAGGCATCGCTGGCGCCTTGCCGCTTTCGGTTTCCCGCGCCAGCCGATGTCGGCAACCGGGCGACGTATCCGCCTGCCCGCGGCCGCACTCGCCGCCGGCGTGCATCGACGGATCGACCCCCAGTCCCCACGCGGTTCGGCGGTCCTGGGCCTACCATCACGTACTCCGCGCATGGATGTGGTACGGATTGGCCTAGTTCGGCCGATGGCAGTCCAGTAAGGTTGCTGTACCAATTGGGCCTTTTGGCCCATTGAGCAACCATGGTCCGTTATTTATTTCTGTATTTTCTATATTTTACTAGGCTAAAGAGCATCTCCATCCCTATTGAGAAAACTCAATCACAATGTGTAGATCCAACGAAATCCAGCCACCGGCTATCAGCATTCAGGCTACCCCGGCCGTCGGCTGGACACCCAAGCTCACATGAGAACAGTGGCTGAGCTAGAAATCATATCATCGTGTCTCTACAACTAAAACATTCATAACTATTTCGTCCACAGGTGCGACACCAAAGTCACTCCATGCGAATTTATCTACTGCACACTCTTAGATCACCAGCGTATATACGTGATTAGGCACCGCATCTCCTGATCGGTCAACTTGGGCTCACAACCTCTCACAGGCACAACTTGGGCACATATCCATCGACTAACGATAGCTTGCATCAGGGGCAAGACCAAGACGCATGATAGTATAGTACGATACGGTGCTTAACTGCTGCTTAATCATGACGACAACTGCAACGGTAGACAACTGTATGTTCAGAATGAAATCGAAACTCCAGACCACTTGGGCACGTACAAGTTGCTATACCTGATCGGCTGATCACGTAACAAGTTGATGCAGACGATTTTTTTTTTGGGTGGATACCTGCAGGCTCCTAGTTGCATTTAATTCTTCGCTCGGTGTAATCGGGCGAGATTCTTGTCACGAGGTCTTGTCTGAACCTGAACCCACCCGGGACGAGTGGCAGCACCGCAGCAGTGACTTGATCACGCTGGTTTTTCTTCTGCTGCTGGTTGTTGTCGTCCGGGTGTTTTCGATCGAAATATCCGTCCGGTTCGTCACGATTGATGAACTACCCTACCCGTGTAGATTCAAATTTAATTCCCAAAAAAAAACATTATTGGCGTTTTGCCGTTTTCGGCTCCTCGTGCCGGCAGACGTGTCCAGTGTCCCCCTCCGGCGCGCCCGCTCTCGCCGTCGACGTGCTCGTGCTCTCGTCTCGTGAGCCGTGACGTTGAGGAATGAGGAGGCCGTTAGACCGCGGCTGAGCGTTACTGGGCCTTTCGCGTCTTCCGGGCGTCGTTGGTGGACCGACTGCTCTGGCCCACCGAGCCGTGTACTCACTCTCTCTCTTTTTGCGATCACCGAGCCGTGTACTCGTGTTTCGTTGTTCGCGAACCACACTGGACAGGATGAGTACACGTGCCTGCAAAAAACCGAACAAACTAACAAAGAAAAAAGTGAATCTAACTTACAGGACAGTGTTTGCCCAATGCTGCACAAGGACAAGTTCTTGATTTTCAACTTAGGCCGCCGCAACCTATGGCATGGCTTCGCTCGGCTTTAGGCCCGGCTTCACACGAGCTAATATGGACAGGAGAAGCCGATGAAATCATCAGCTATATATGTTCGCTCGGCTTTATTACTATGGTGAACAAAACAAATAAGTAATAGATTATCTTTTACTTTCGTTGGCTATAGCTTCAACAAAACTGCGGCGTCATTCAAGAAACATCTTGCCCATTCCCTCCCCACGATGCGGCATGTGGCTGCACCGCCGGCGCAATCCCCTCCTCCTCCCAGGTCGCCCCTCCACACACACAACGGCGAGGAGCCACGTTGGCTAGCTCATGCCTACTTGCTAGAGCTAGACCATCGTAGCCGCGGGAAAGCACCTCGTCGTTCTCTACTCCTCTGGGTCGCCGAGGAGGAAAAGGGACTGCCGGTGTGGTGAAGCTATCGCCGCGACGACGTGGCCGTAATGCATTGGCTCCTTCGAGCGCACTGAAGCCGCACAACACAACCATGCCCTGCGAGTGCTCTGCTCGCTCGGCGCTTCATCGGTCCATCACACCGCCACAGCCAGAGGCCTCACGGGCCAGCCGAGACCCTTGGCAACGCAAAGCAATTGAACTAGCACGCGGGACGTGCAGCGAACCCATGGATAGCGGCGGACGCTCTCGGGGAACACGGGTGTAGCACCCCTCACATTCCCATGAACCGTTCGATGGAATGCCGCTCTGCAGTCATGAAGATAACAGCCGGTGCTATGTCTCTTCCACTTATCACATCTCATTCCACATGAATTTTCATCAATTGCAACTTCGCTGCTATGTCTCTTTGCTGAATTCATCCTCCACTACAATAGGGTCAGAGGTCCAGACTGCAACAAACATCTCATGAGAGGTAAACAGATAAATCTCACTCTCACTTGTATATGTGTTTGTTCGGACCTTTTTTTATTTCCCCTTTAAGATATAGATTCAAATCATCTTCACTCGTTAGAACTCATACTAGAATACTACACTCTCTCGTTTTTTTCCCCGGTGAGAAGCATGTCACAGGTTCAGCTTTGTATCTCCATAGAAGATAGTGTGACGACACTGATACCTATTCTATTTGTTTTAAAGACTGGATACCTACCTTTTAGTCTGGCAACTATAATTGGTTAGTTCCTTTCAAATAAACTGATGACTTATAAATATTACGTTGGTGCATAATCTGCATAGAAATAGTGACATTATGTTATGCCTTTTTACAAGTACTTGCCCAAATACATGTCAGGATTTTCCTGATATATCCTTGATGACCTATCCAAGGTTGATGCAATATTTTGGCAAGTGTCTCCCTCTTAATTTAGGTGTTAACTATTATGGTTTTGTTCATATAATATTTACTAAATACTAAAAAAAAACTCGACCTGCAATAATGATATGAATACAAAAACTAATCACAGAGCTAACGGATATATTGATAGCTAATTTCAAATGAACAAAGCTGTAATAAAAAAATATGTAATAAATATCTTAGAGCGTAGAAATTATTTAACACAATACTCTTACAAGTATTTTTTCGAATTTAATCTGGTGTAAGCCTAAACTGAACATGTGGACTGAAGAGTGAAGACATGATGCCCTGATCATATGAAGATATTATGGATTAATACACCAAAAAGACTGGAATCAACTTCTTGCTAGATATTATAGGATCAGTATGACAGTATTAGTCTATTAGAAATGATAATCCCTTCGGTGATGCCAACGGCAACCAAAGATTACTCCATGGTCTTTAGTAACCCAAGGAAATGTAAGTTTTAAATACCTTGGTCTTTCTGCTTCTACTATGCAGATTTTTTCTGTTTAATTAACCTGGAAATTTTGAGCTCCGAAGCAATTCTCCGAAGTGGTAACAACATGCTGATCTGCCCCTGTGCCTTGCTCAGTATAATTACAGTAACAGCTTGTGCCACACCATGTTTTACATGCTCAGTTTAACATGCTAAGCAGATCCTGAAGTTTTGGGCAGACATGAGCTCTGAATCACCATCGTTTTACCTTTCAATCAACATCTGCAAATTTTACAGAGTGACATGCTGACATATGGATATGCAGTTCCATGCGTGTTTCCAAAGATAATGCCTTAAACACCTATGCAACACAGTATTTAGCATTATACATTTTCTTCTGAAGTCTTTTCGTGTGGTAATCTGCTCATTGGTTTAATGCTTCTCTGTATAATCTGGCTTGACTACGATAATTGTGCAACCAGAAATAGCACGTACAGTGCCCTTGTGTAATTTTCTCCACAAATGATACTAAAGTGAGAGCAAAGCTCTTCATAAGATTATTTACGTTTCGATTTCAGATTGAACAAACACGAATGATACTAAAAATGGTCCCAACAACCACACCACGATGAGTTCTAGTTGTTACTGAACCGAAGGTATATCAACCCTTACTTGCGTTGCATTGCATTCCAGCTACAGGCGCGTCATATGGAAGGACGTCCAGTCCAGCACAATAGATGCGGACGTGTAGTGCGAGGAGGCCCCTCTAACTAGATGTTTGACAAATGGGTTATAAGGTTGGATTGGGAAAAGAAAATAGATGAATGGCTAAGATTAAATGAGGTGTGAAGAATGTATGGTTAGGATATCATTTCCCTATCCCATTTGCCAAATGAATATGACATTTCGGGTAAAAGATTTGGTGACGACATGGAGCACTAGAAGTTTTTTTTTTATTGTACGCAGGGTCCACAAAACAATATTCACACTAGAGCACTAGAACTCTATTTTAGTGTGCTTTTGCTGGATGTAAGGTTAAATCGTAATACTGGAGCTGTCCTAACACATGAGTGAGCTATAATCCTTCTGTTACCTTTTAGGGCCCTTTGGATTGCGGGATTCTTTCCTGTTTCCTGTGTTTTTCATGCGAAAATGAACTGATTTCTTTGAAATTCCTTCACAATTCCTGCAAAATTCCTATGTTCCAAAGGGGTCCCTTTAATTTATGTAGCAGTCTCACGTGTTAGACGTTTGTGTATATGGTTGTGTTATGTATTCGGGGCGAGAGAATCCCCCACCTGATTTTCATTGAAGTTGGCTCTCAAACAGCCATGTCTGTTACAAATAAGGATCGGTTTAAGGAAGCATTTTGGTTACAATATTTGACTGTGCTCTTACATTGCGCTAGCTAGTATTGTGCACCAGGCTGTGGCTATCAATTTGTCGTCCTTGGGTAGCCGAGCACCCCACAGATAAGTTTCAGACTTGCATGCGGCCAAGGTTGCAATCAGCGACGTCCTATCTGAGCAAAAGATGATGGTGTTCCTCCTCTTCCAGATGTGCCAGCAGCAAAGCAAGAGGAAGGTCCCAAAGAATTTGCTTGGTATGTGACTGGGCGGCTGAATGTCGTTCAAGGCCTGCACCGGCCAATCCGCCTGGATCGGGATTTGCAGCGCGCTCCAAAATTGCTGGGCGTTTGGGCACTGGAACAGGATATGTGCAGTGGTCTCTTCCGGCACCTGGCAGACGTCACAGATCGTGTTGTCTACGATGTGTTTTCTTGCCAATGGCCAATGCCTTCTTGCATTTGATCTTGTCTTGTGACACCAGCCAGGCGAAGAACTTCACTCGGCGTCAGGAGTTGACTGTTCGCTTTTCAGAGCTCTGTACAGCAGACCTGAGTCTAGGTCTCCATTTGGTTTGATCATCAGGCTACTTCTTTGGTCTCTGCCTTCACTGAGACTGTGCGTCACTAAGGTGCTTGTAACCTGAAGTAGTTGCTCAGTTGCTTCAGTTGATAGACGCGCAGTTAGCGATCTCTGAACTTCTCCGTCATATGCCTGTCTGACAGTGATTTCCCTCTGCTGGCAGTGACTGAACAACTCAGGTAACCTTCAGCAAGTGTATTACAGCTATGCACCCTATTCGCTTGGGCTTGTTTGTTTATAAGTAGTATTTTTTCAGTCAACGAATAATATTTTTCTCTCACACCAAATCAGTTAACAGTCCTTTCAGTCATGACTTATCAGACAAACAAGACCAAACGAACAAAGCCATGTATGAAAGGGCAATCCTCACCAAATTTCCCCCATTTTGGAGCCAAGACATTGCAGTTGACTGAGCTGCCAGAGATTCCACAGACACTACCAGCCTTTCAAAAAACAAAAGGATATCACAGACAGCAACAGTCAACGGATAAACCGCGAGAACGTCGCGGCGCTCGGCTCAACGCACGCCCACCAACGTCTCGTCTTCTGAGGAACAGGGCCGATACCAAGCGCCACTATACCTCTCACGACACCAGTCACCGCTCCACAATCACACACTCGACACCGCCAATCCATGGCCTTGGCGACGCCGCTCCGTCTCCGCAACCTCCTCCCCGCCGCGTCGGCGCCTGCCAGGGCCCCGGACCCTGCCGGGCCGTCCCTGGCGAGCCACCGCGCCCTCTCGCTCTGCCGGGGCCGCCTCCTCCGCGCAGGCCTCTCCGCCGCGCCCCGTCCCGGGCTGGTGGCCGTGGCCGCGGCCGCTGGCGGGCGGCCGACGGTGCTGGTCACGGAGATGCTGGGCCCCGCGGGGCTGGAGCTGCTGCGCGCCTTCGCCAACGTGGACTGCTCCTACGAGCTCACGGCGGAGGAGCTCCGCGCCAAGGTGTCGCTCGTGGACGCGCTGGTGGTGCGCAGCGGGACGCAGGTGACGCGGGAGGTGTTCGAGGCCGCGCGCGGCAGGCTCCGCGTCGTCGGCCGGGCCGGGGTCGGCATCGACAATGTCGACCTCCAGGCGGCCACCGAGGCCGGCTGCCTCGTCGTCAACGCGCCCACCGCCAACACCGTCGCCGCCGCCGAGCACGCCGTCGCGCTCCTCGCCGCCATGGCGCGCAATGTCGCGCAGGCCGATGCGTCGCTCAAGGCCGGTACGTACGCCCCCTCGTTTTAATTTGCTCCCAGCAAATGTGTGCACACGATACGATAGCGCGACCAAGCGGTGCCTACCACACGTTATGCGAATAGATAAGGTCCTGCTGCTGTTAATTACTAAACAACGTGCACGTACAAGAGGGGAAGTGAAATGCGATGCAATTCTCTGCTACTCCGTAGTAAGTAGTTTGATCGTCGCACATTGCTTGCAAATGAGATGTAGTCCATGTTACGCCGACTGATACACATGTTTGAAGTTAGTCCATGTTTCTATAGCGGTGTACTTTATTAAGTGCTTTCAACTTTCAAGGTTAGGTTGTAAATGATGTTGGCGTGATGGTGGAACTTCAGAGGAAGTTTGTGTTACGTAGGTGCCAATGGCATGATGAAGGGGATAACACGTGTTGCAGCATTGCCACCATATATAGACTGACAGACTGTGTTTGGTTAAGAAATAAAGTGGTGCAGCGCTCATACCAGACCAAGTGTCAGTTTCGTGATGTTACCAATGTCATTATACAAAATATTACTTTCCATGTAATGCGAATCTCTGCTGACATCACATTAAGGAGTAGCAGTAGCTTCAATATTCTTATTTCTGAAGCAAATATTGGGGTCTTGTGATGAATTGGTGACTTTCCCAAGACCCATTCAGTTCATATTTGTTCTTGGGTTCTGCTAGCCTCCTTTTACAAAAATCTGAAATCCATTCTTTCCACAGTCTTCTTAAATCTTAATGGCCAACAAAGTACTTAACTTTTTCTAGTGTCCGCAACTGCAACTTTAGATTTATCTAGTTTACTTGTGACACGCATAATAAAATTATTCTTATGGCCGTTTTTTAAGTAGAATCATTTTGAGATATGAAATTACAATTGTTAACCAGAAGATTGCAGGCATATCATGTTCCACCAGTAGGTTCATATAAAGACTAAATAGCCATTTTGAGCAAAAGACGATCACTATTGTGTTCAGAACTTTTTTTTTTATTTAACAATATAAAGGGCAGACCCAGTGCCGGAGGCTCTCACTTGAGTGAGGTCTGGGGAAGGGATAAACCGAGACAAGCCTTTCCCCCGCAAAATCTGCAGAGAGGCTGCTTTGAACCCACGACCTGGTGACTCAGTGAGACAGCTCTCACCACTGCATCAGGCCTGCCCTTCTTTTATTTAACAATATCACAGGTTGATTTCAACTGATATAAAAAAATATTGTGGCGACAGTGTGCACAGTTCATTTGTGCTAACTCAAACGCTATAGTGTTGTGATTGCTTTGTGTAATTCAGGCAAATGGCAACGGACCAAATATGTTGGTGTTACCTTGGTGGGCAAGACACTAGCTGTTATGGGTTTTGGAAAGGTCGGTCCAGAAGTAGCTCGACGTGCAAAAGGACTTGGGATGGATGTCATTGCTCATGATCCATATGCTGCTGTTGATAGAGCCCGTGCAATTGGCGTAGATCTGGTATCATTTGATGAGGCCATCTCCACAGCAGACTTCATATCACTGCATATGCCTCTAACTCCATCGACTGCAAAGCTTTTCAATGATGAAACTTTTGCAAAGATGAGAAAGGGTGTTAGAATTATCAATGTTGCACGGGGTGGAATTGTTGATGAAGAAGCATTGCTGAGAGCACTTGACAATGGAACAGTTGCCCAGGTAATTCCTTTAGTCATGTCCACTCATGACTCGTCCAAATGCTGACAGTGCATAACTGTTACCTGTTATCCAATTCTCATATGCATCTGATATATTTCACTGTGCAATGTTTTGTCATAAAAAAGAGAGATATTTTGGCCTTTTTCCTGATTGCATTGTGGTGTGAGTCAGGCTGCACTTGATGTATTTACTGAGGAGCCACCGCCAAGAGACAGCAAGTTAGTGCAGCATGAGAATGTCACTGTCACACCGCACCTTGGGGCTAGCACAACAGAAGCGCAGGTTGGTTGGTCTTTTCCTAGCAAACTTATTTGTACCACATCATATCATACTAGCTTATCCTCTTTACTTTATACTATACCTCTGCAGGAAGGTGTAGCCCTTGAAATTGCAGAGGCTGTTATCGGTGCACTGAGAGGAGATCTGGCTGCCACGGCTGTGAATGCCCCAATGGTCCCAGCTGAGGTACTTTCATTACCAAGGAAGAAATTCAACATAGTCATTTCAGTATACTCTTGCAATCTGTTTGCGCCTAAACAGTACATCTCTTCCCACAGGTTTTATCAGAGTTATCTCCATATGTTGTCCTTGCTGAGAAGCTGGGCCGGCTTGTTGTGCAACTTGTAGCTGGTGGCAGCGGGATTAAAGGTGTCAAGGTTGTTTACTCATCTGCCAGAGACTCCGATGACTTGGACACAAGAATTCTTCGTGCCATGGTCACCAAAGGCATCATCGAACCTATTTCAAGCGCTTTTGTAAACATTGTCAATGCGGATTATGTCGCCAAGCAAAGAGGCCTTAGGATCGTTGAGGAGAGAATTTTCCTTGACGGTTCACCCGAGATCCCCCTAGACTCCATCCAGGTCCACCTCGCCAATGTGGAGTCCAAGTTTGCCGGAGCCTTATCTGATGCAGGTGACATCAGAGTGGAGGGCAAGGTTAGGTATGGCACGCCACATCTCACGCTCGTTGGGTCTTTCAGTGTTGACGTTAGCCTTGAGGGCAACGTAATACTGTGCCGCCAAGTTGATCAGCCAGGCGTCATTGGGAAAGTGGGGTCAATCTTGGGAAAGAAGAACGTTAATGTGAGTTTTATGAGTGTCGGTAGGACTGCTCCGGGGAAGCAGGCGATAATGGCCATCGGAGTTGATGAAGAGCCTGAGAAGGAAGCTCTCAAATTGATTGGTGAGACAGGGTCTGTTGAGGAGTTTGTCTTTCTTAAGCTATAGAGACGAAGAAGGTAGGAACCCAAAATTACATTGTGCTATATTAGTATGAGATTGATTTTGCCAAGATTTTACTAGCTAGTCTGGGGTACTGTAGAATACCATTCCTTTGTGTTTTGTGTCCTTGAGGACACGCCGATCACAGAGATATATCAAGGGGTACATGCAAAATGCAATTTTTAACTCAGGCCCTACTATTTTGCTACCCTGTTAGACTCTGGTGATGCCATTTACCTGTTAGAATGTCTCTAGCTTCTGGTTTCTGGGGACCTCTGTTCTGACCTGTGAGTTGTGACATCTTGGGGTCCTCACAAACAGGCTTGAATACTCCACTGTAAAAACGGTCACAGTTAACCATTTACTTGATCCGTCTTGAAATCTAAGGTAGCTAAGCATTCGAATTTTGTTTCAAATTATAAAAAATTCTAGGTAAAGTAACCCCATCCTAATTTAAAAGTCAGCATTATTCACATGTATATCTACCATCCATATCAACAGAAAATGCACATCATTTCAAACACACGCACAAATTAAAACAATCCATGCCCATAGGAAACATAGAAAAGACAAACACAAGACTTGGAAAAAATAAGAACTGACAGGTGGGGGATCTCTTCTTTTGCCACGAAAAGAATAAAAAACTGTAATAAGGACATAAAGAAAGATAAGAAAATTACACTTGCAAAAGAAGGTTCTACAAAGAAACGAATGCGAGGAAATCATATTAGATTGAGTTAAAGGCAAAAATAAAAGAAGATGTGAAAGCTCGAAAGCCCCACTGATTTTCTCTCTCTTGATTAGGTCTAGGCATTCGGATATTTAGGTGAAATCGGTTATCAGGAGTTTCTAGTTTGGTGAACTGCTAACTGAATTTGTTGCCAGAACAACTAATGACCAACCAAAATTAGCTTCGGTTAAATCGGCTAACCACAATACATATTCAGCCTGTTCGCTTGTTGGTTTTAGATAGGGCTTATCAGCCAGCCAACAATATTTTTCTCTCACAACAAACCAGCACCAGCCGGACTTATCAGCCCAGAAACCAATCAGCGAACAGACCGAATTATATACTTCTACAGGAGATAATGTGACAATAAAATTGGATAGGAAGTCACCCAACAAAAAATGCATCATGCATTAAAACAAAAGGAAAAGCAACAAAGAATGTCTCGTAGACATATATTTAAATATGCAAATGCACATAATATATAGTCATAAATAAATTTGGTTAACATCAGCTCAAAAATAAATCACTGATCACTGAATAGTGTCAAAGTCTTCACCGAATATATCACAAAAACTCCAGTTAACTGACTTTCGGTTTACATCGGTTAAACTCGATCAATCGGTCTCGTTGAAATTTTGCCACGCCTGGTCTCGATCAATTGCAGTGCATCTAGGATTTTGCAGGATATCCAATCGGTGGCATCACCAACCCGTGAAATTTCACAGAAGTTGACCCTTTTAATTTGTGGCATCTGGCATGGGTGAGCAGCCGGTGCATCTCTAGACTTTTGAGCACGTTTTCTTGTCCCGGAAGGCCACAATCAGTCTGCGCCATGTGATATCGCATTGTCAAGATCAGAGACTCTGTTAGGTGAAGGACACTAGACGCCCATTGCACCATGTTCTTAGTACTGTGTACCCTCTGCCGACCCACCCCCCATCCATGTCTGTCCCCAACATCTTTCTCTCGCAAAGGCCGGCCAGCCGTCGGCGACTCGCTGGCCGACCCGTCATCGTCGGCGGATCAGACGACGGTGGCCCATCACGCGACGCGGCCACGCCTTTCGCCGCTGCAGCCCGCCCAGTGGCCACTGTCCGGCCGGTTGCATCTCAAGGCTTCGCCGCGCGCGCATCGTCGTCGTCGTCCTCCGATCTTCAGCTTTGCGGAAATGGGTGCGCTAGCTGGACACCGAGCCGAGCCGGGTGAGTGCTGCGCACACTCACTCACCCGGACGGACAAAAGCAGACCCCGACGGCGACGTGGGCCGGCCGTCGTGGTCACGGGACGAGTGGAAGAGAAATCGCGGCGGTCTCTCGGTGGCACAGGAGTGCACGCAACTCGCTCCGATCCTGATCCTCCTGTAGCTGTCAGTGGGAGTGGGTGCTACACTGCTGCTCCCTGTGCATACCAGACCAGTCAGTGTAGCAAACACTGCTCACTGCTGTGTGGTTAATCCTTATCTTGAGAAATCAGAGCCCTATCTGAACTCTGAGTCTCTGACTGCTGTTGCATGTAGTGATCCTCAAGCAAGTTCTGAACTCTGGTCGTTTCCACGCGCTGTGTGGAGGAGGAGGAGCTGGCGTGGACGCGTGGTGTAGTAGTAAATCAGAGTGAGATGGTGATCACGGCACGCGCGTTCAGGACACACGACCGACGGCGACGTCCAACCCCGGGAGAGCCGGAGATGCTTTGCCGGAGCATTGTTATGTGTTAGCAGAGCTTAGGAGAGAGTTGACGCTGGTGGCTGGATTTGACAAGAAACCGTGGCCACAAAACCTTGTGGATTCCTGAAATTACTGGCAGTCTGGCACCGGATCATCATGAAACTTTGAATGGATACAACTATATCTGCAAGCGACATCATGTAAGCACTCATTTCGTCAACACTGGCGCTCGCAAATGAATGGTTTTCGTTTTCGCGTAATCATGCTGCTTAGAAGCAGACCGGCAAGGAAGCATATTGACGGAGGAAATTTTGCAACTACTTTCCATGCAATGAAGGGGGAGAGGCTCATGGATTGCCGGAGTCGCAAGCAAATCTTCTGGAAAATTCCGATCGCGAAGCGTCGGAAAATCCATTGCGTTTTCGCATCCCAAATCTTCCAAGTCCGTCCTAAATTGCGGCGATCACGTGAAGATGGACCCGCCCGAGACGTTGCCCCGCCGCGGAACCAATCGCCTTCCCGTCGAGTTGGTGTTGCCCCGACCCCACCGCCCTAATCCGCTACGCGCAGGAGACCTTGAGGCACTGCTTTTTTGGTTCATTCACATAGATCTGTACCTGTAAACTTTTTTTTTTCACACACATCTTTGCACGAAATGGTTACACAGTTGTTAAGAAATGTGCAAAAAGAAAATTTTTTCTCCCCTCCATCACCATTCAAGCCGTCTGGCCTCTTTTATAAAAACCTAGTTGTTGTAACGAATTGCAAAATGCATCGGAGCTGATGGTGTACAATCTCACGACCAGGATAGCTCCTAGCCAGGACATGACGACGTGCAGGACCGAGCACCAACCATTGCGAGAGGACAACGCCCTGTGCCGTTGACCCCTTTATTAAGTTGGCAACACAGTCACATGCATGGGGAGGCACCGCACGGGATCACCAGCTTTACAATATGATGACGGCATCCGGTTGACGACGTTCTGCCCGCCCCTCAAATTAGGGGTCGCGAGCCGACGCGTCCGCGTCAGGCGTATATGGTGGGTCAAGATTTTCCAGGGCCGGACTGTGACTCAACGCGGCCGAGTCGCCCGTTCTGTCGTCGTTTGTCGGCAGCCCGCCCTTATAAGTTATAAGGGCTATACAACACATGTGTATTTTAGTAAAAAAATAATATGATTTTTTTTTCTCTGTCTCCCTCCGTTCCGCTGCTCCGATCCCCTGCTCCGCAACGCACGCACGCGATCATCAGCTTTGCTGGCTATGGCTGGATGATGACGGCGTCTGGTTCGTCCTCCCTCTGCCATTTGCACCCTTTCCAAAAAAAATGACGCTTCTGCCCCGCCTTTATATGATTTGTGATTGTGGGGTCGCGAGCCGACGCGTCCGCGTCAGGCGTATCTTAATTACTATTGTGCAAAAAAAATTCAAGATTTTCCGGGGCCGGACTGTGACTCAACGCGGCCGAGTCGCCCGTTCTGTCGTCGTTTGTTGGCGGCCCGGGCTTACAGGGTATGGTATAATCTTTTTTTTACGATAAATCAGTATCAATCGGATTTATCAGTTTAGAAATAAATCAGCGATCAGACTGTAAATTACCAAACTGCCCATCTCTATCCTGTCAGTCAGTCCCTTACCTATCACAGCAAATCCAAAATCCCGATTTCCAAACCTGAAAGGAAGGCTTTGTCCATTTCCTACGAAATTCTACTATATATTGATATTGATTCTCCTAGGAACTCGTTAGTTGCGGCACTACTGACTTTTAGGCTGAGAAATTTCCAATTATATAATTGACGTTGTGATTTGGAAGGTTAGATACATAAGTACATATTTTTAATTATATAATTTTGTGAGAAATAAGGGCAGTCTTAGGGTTTATAGAAGAATGCCTTTTTAGTTTAGAGCAATCCTGTTAAAAAAAAGACCATTTCTATAGACAACTTAGATTTTTCCAACAGGAAGTATGCTTCATGACAAGTCTTGTATTGTCGAGTTTGTTTTTAGTATACAAACTTCGATAGTACCATCACTACCATTGGAGTGATTTTCTATCTATTTCAATATATTATATTATATGCTACTCCACTACTTTTTGAGAAATTTATATGGTTGCATTGGGATATAGCCACATATATGACTGAATCATCAGAAACGTCGGATGCAAGATTTTATATCATCCCATAGTTTTGCGATGGCGACTAATGGACATATGTCCTACCAGTCAAAATCTATAAGATACAGTTGAAATGACCTTTTTTTTTAATCGTTCAAGAAGCAAGAGAGCGCGTGAATGGACAAGCTCAACATGTAGTCAAGAACACGACATAAACGTTAGGATCAATAGGCAACATAATCTGCTGTTTTTTTTTTTTCAATTGAGCGGATTCTTTGCGAGGTTGAATTTCTCAACTTATTGTTTTAGGACATTAATAATCTATAATTATTTTATCATCTTGAGATTTGCCAACTCAATTATCTACACTGTAATTTCAAAAAAAACTAATTACGAGACTACAAGTTTAATTTCCCTCCGTAGTTACAACACCATACATATATCTGTGTAATTATTAGTAGTTGGGACCATCAGGGGGTAGTTTGGACATTTAGCT